ATTTATTTATTTATTTATTTATTTATTTATTTTAAGAAAGAGAGAGATTGAGAGAGAGAGAGAATACCAATCAGGCCATTCTGTGAGCACGGAGTCTGACACGGGGTTTGATCTCCCCAACCATGAGATTACAACCTGAGCCGAAATCAAAAGCCAGAGCATAACCAACTGAGCCCTCTCCATTTAAATATTTTAGTTTGCTTACATTTTGCTGAGTTCTGAAAGAGGATATTAATGGAATTATTTGTACAAGAGAAAATTGGGGCTGGCAAGCATTCAAACATCAGCACTAGGTTATGTATCAATTGTTTATTGTACAGCTTGGATTCAGAGCCATGCCAGCCTGGATCCAAAACCCATGTTCTATGTATTTTACTACCTCCTTTACACATTTTTCAAGGAAGTCTGTGACTTATTTTAAGCCAGTATAATGAAAATTTTCAAGCCAATCTGTATGTGTAGAATTTACCTACAATTTTAGTTAAAAATACAGTAAGTGAATCAAATCAACTCATCTGGTTATTGTATTTAGGTTTTGCAAAATATCATTGCTTTTACTCAAGCATTTTCAATTAAGTGGAGCTACAGGGCCAGAATGACCACAGTTTCATTAACATCAGTTGGCTCCTTCAATTTTTCCCCATGAGACCTGACTTTATTAATAGCGTCTCAGTGTCATATTTGTCCTAGATTATGAAAATGGACTCACACCTCCAGCAGCCTTTGTTGAGAAGTATAACACCTCTCAGAGCTTCCAAAGGCTACCCTGCAATGTTTGATCAGCTCTAGAGAGAAGAGGCCTATCTAAAGCAGCCATTCTTCTCAGGAATGGAGGAAACAGTTTCCTTAGAAACAGGGATTACAAAAGAGCTCTTAGAATAGCTTCTCCTAAACTCAGGTTTTCTTCAATTCCAGGCCTCTGATAGTCTTTCAAGTAGAGACATAATATGAATAGCGAGCCCAGCTGGACGTATGTAATGACATGAAGAGAAATGGCAAGTCCATTGCCAGCACAGACAAGTGTATTCAGTACTCGGCAAAGGGCTTGGCAGAGATGGTATTCAACAGATACTTTGCTAAGTGCTTAAATGAACATAGGGTCTACCTGAATTTGAATAGCATGGTAAAGGGAAATGAAACATAAATTAAAGGATCAGGGCTTCAACTCGATCCTGGCATATATTACCAGCTTGGCCGTAGGCAATTTAAATACCTTCCCTAGTTTGTTTCCTCACCAATAGAAATGATGATAGTTATCCAGCTGGTCAACCAAACAAGGTTGTTTATGAATATGAAAGGACCTTGTAAATTTCAAATCCTTCTATAAATATGAAGTTGTATTTTCATTTTCATTTTTTCTTTACGGAATGTCTCAAAATGATTACATTTTCACAGCTACGAACGAATGTCTGTAGCATTTAGCATACTGTGCTGTAACTGGTAACTAATTGCTTTCGTCTATACCACCAAGCTGTGAACTCTTGAGGACAGGAACCATGTTTTTATTTCTGAATCCTACACATCTCATATTCAACAAAAGCTTGTTAAATGAATAAATTGAATAAATGGCACATAAGATTGTTTTCAGCTTTTTTTTTTTTTTTTGCTATCTCAAATCTTTTAGCCAGAGAGATTTTTTTAAGTTTATAAGAATTTTTTTTAATTTTTTTCTTTTACTTGAGTGTAGTTAAAACACAATGTTACATTAATTTCAGGTGTATGACAAAGTGCTTCCACAAGTCTATATATTTTGCTACACTCACCACAAGTGTGGCTACCATCTGTCACCACACAATGGCATTACAGTATCATTGACTGTGTTCCTTATGTTGCGTCATTTAATCCAATGACTTATTTATTCCATAACTGGAAGCCTGTATCTCCTGCTCCCCTTCACTCATTTTGCCCATCCCTTATTTCCCACCCCTCTGGTAACCCCCAATTTGTTCTCTATATTTACACATCTGATTCTGCTTTTTGTTTGTTTCTTCATTTAGGTTTTTTTAGATTACACATATGAGTGAAATCATAAGGTATTTGTCTTTCTCAAAGTCTGACTTATTTCATCTCATATAATACCCCCTAGGTCCATCTATGTTGTCACAAATGGCACAATCTCATCCTTTTTGTGGCCACATAATATTCCACTGTGTGTGCACGTGTGCGCATATGCGTGTGTGTTATGTATGACATCTTCATTATCCATTTGTGTATCAATCAGGACCAAATCAAAATAAACTTTTACATGGAAAAGAGAGCCAGACAGATTTTTGAAAGCATTGAAGAAGAGATTGGTAATTGTATAAATACAATTCCATTTTTTGTTCACTGTAACACTATCTCTGATCTGAGACTTAAAGAAAGTTATGTTTCTTTATAGGGGAAAGGCTCCAGAGCTGCCCACCCCAACTGAGACATAAGCTCCATGAGGGCAGAGACCAGGCTGATTTTGCCTGTATTTCCATCAACAAAGAGCAGTTTTTAGCAGACAGCTGAATGAAGCAGACATTCAAACACCTTACTCAGTCTGTTTCCCAGAAGTTATTTGTTAAATAGATGACACATAAATGAGTAACTTATAAAATTTAGAAGATAGAATGTTGGCAAAGAAACTTAATATTCAGCTGAACACAAAAATAATGCACTAGTTAAACAGGATAATTTGTACATACCTTGCTGATTTCAAATCCAAAGACTTCTTCAAAATATGCCGGCTGACTAATAAGCAATAAGTAAAAAGTCCAGCTTCTGCAGAAGTTTGCAACAATTATTGCATAGACAGGCATAGATGTAAAAAATTTCCTCCATGGAGTCTTGAATTTCTGAAATCCCAAACAGAGAGCCATTCTGACCGTTTAAAATATGTTCTAACTTAAATGGGAATAATAAGTGCTTTGCATTTTCAGGATGTATATGTTGGGGCATGAGTAGGAGGTAATGAACAGTTCATTGCAAGTCTAATTAATCTTTGCTGCATGAATAATCATTGGAATAAAAAAAAGATATCAGCCTCTTCTGATTAGATAGTTTACATTTTAGGAATATGTAAGATCCTATGTTTATAGAAAACAATTCCAAAAGCACAGATCCTAGTTGTTAAGATGTTTTTTTGCAATGACAGATCATGACTTAGCTAAAGATCATTGCCATATCAGTGACCTTGTTAGTATCCAAAATATCTTATCTAAAACATTGAAAATCCAATATAGTTAGAAGAAAAATAAGAAAAATTAAGAGTGCAATATTCTAGACCCTATCTAAAGTCAATAATACGACTACAGATCTATAAATTCTCTTGAAAGACAATGGATTTCAATATAAATTCTGTGATGCTAAAGTGCAAAGTTCTGTAAAACTCATATGGTATACAGTTGGATTAAAGTGGCCACCCATCACACCATGGGCACATGATAATTAGTTATTTGTGATATTGAAAACATTTCAAAATTAACAACCTAAACATGATTGGTTTTGCTTATGATAACCATTAAAAAATTATACCTAATATTCCTAAAGATCCTCTATATGCCCAAACATAAAGCAATTTTCTTCTCCCCCTCAAGACTAATATTTTCAGACCTGAAAATGTCTCTCCTATTCTCAAGCACTTTCTCAATGACCTTATTTTGAATGTCAAAATAGAGTTTGGTGAAGAAACAATAGCCTAAAATAACTCTGTTTAACGCGAGGTTGGGACCCTTGAACCGACCAAATTAGTAAAAGAAGAGACAACCATTTTTTGCACAGATTTGGTAATTATTCCTGGATATAGAACCTTAGAATTGCTAGCCTTGATTGTGACTCTAACTAAACCTTTCAAGATCACTTTAAATTTTTTTTTTTTTAACATTTATTTATTTTTGGGACAGAGAGAGACAGAGCATGAACGGGGGAGGGGCAGAGAGAGAGGGAGACACAGAATCGGAAACAGGCTCCAGGCTCCGAGCCATCAGCCCAGAGCCCGACGCGGGGCTCGAACTCACGGACCGCGAGATCGTGACCTGGCTGAAGTCGGACGCTTAACCGACTGCGCCACCCAGGCGCCCCCTTTCAAGATCACTTTAAAAGTAATATAGTAAGAAATTATATTTTGTGATCACAAATATATATCAGACAAAAAAGAAAAACAAACAAAAACAAAAACACAGCCTAATAACATATGAGTGCTGTGGCTTTGAATAAACATATCCAGTGACAACATCATAGATGCATTTCTTAAAATTCAATATGCTCTGGGAAAACAATGCCAGATAAATATGCTTATTTCACAGGTAATAAAAATTGTCAAATACAGGGATGTCAGCATTGTATTATTATGTTTGTATGAGAAATAACTTCAGAATATTATTAAAAGTAAATAACTTTTTCCTGCTGGGAAAGTGTTTCTATTATTCAGACCTGGAACATCTCTGCTAAGAACTTTTTTCTTCAGGTTGTAAAATATTTCATCAAATGTAAGATATATCTAATTTTATACCTTAAAAATTGTTAGGGGTCGTAGGAGGGCTTATACCATTTTGATAACAGTGTACTTACTGACCTGGCTGTTTGCTTCATAAGTGTGTTTACAAAAATTAAGCAAGTTGTTTGCTTAAGATTTATGCATTTTTCTGTATGCATGTTATATTTAATTTTTTAAGGAAAAAAAGATTTAAAAGACAATACAGTCAGCTGCAATGTGTGATCCTTAATTGGATGCAGATTCCAAAGAAATAGCTGCACAGGGCATATGAATATAGACCAGGTATTCATATTGGGACTGGGTATTAAAAATTTGAATACGATCTAGGTATTAGGCACTATCAGGGAATTATTTTTAATTGTTTTAGGTATAATAATAGCCTTTAAATTGTGAAAGAGGATTTTTATTTTTTTAGAGAGGTATATGAAGTATTTGTGGGTCAAGTGTTTTAATACATTTACTTTGAAATCATTCAGAAATAAGAAAAGTGAAATAGATAAGGCAAGATGTTAACAACTGTTGCATCTATGCCGTGGAGACATGGATGTTTCTGTTACTGTTCTTTCTGCTCTGCTATATATTAAATTTGTTCACAATAAAAAGCTAAAAATAACTAAAGTCCAAGTACAATAACTGGAATATAATCTCATTTTTAATTTTCTTTTGGAGCTTCAGGAAAGTATAAAACATCAGTAAGAAGTAAATACTATGTTCAGAAAAGCAGTAAGGTAAGGAAATTGGGAGTTTGAGATTATCTATGCTGTTTTATCAAGCTACTAGCTGCTCTTTTTAATGTCATTTCCAGAAATTGGTTTTCACTTAGACTAAATTTTTAACTGTTTAAAAGCGTATGTTTGATTTAGACACACAATCTCTCAAGAACTGGTAAGTAAAAGAGGTATATTAAACAATGAAAATATAGGCTGATCAGATCATTTTTGGGCTAGAATTTGAGGCTAAATTCTGAACTCACCATGGATCAGCCTATATTTAGCTTCTGTGCACAGCGACCACTGCTGGTGGGCACCAGAGTGCACTGCCAACACCCACGCCATCCCCACATCACCACTTGTTTCCTAAGTAGCCACCATTAGAAACCATCAGGCCATTTACAGAAGGAAACAGGAAGGGGAAAGTTCTAATGCCAGTCTGTCCCATTCATGGGACTACCATAAGAATACTGTTTTTAAGTACTGAAGTTTCACTTCGTATGATATCCAATATGGCATTTTTCCTATTCATTAAAGGCCTCAACACTAGTGGCTGATAGACCTTTGAACCTAGGATGAGGTGTCAAAGACAGGCCTTCTCTAACAAATGAAGTAGAGAATCTGCTGGAATAAAATACAATTCGAATGAGGAGAGGAGCCTTTAAAAGAAAGAGAAGCATAATGTTAAGAGACACTGGTTCCTCAGCCATGCATGGTGCCTTCTATCTCTCAGCATAAGGAAATTGAGTTTCTGTTCAGGTGCTGAATTATTGCACCTATCTAAATACGTGAGTTTTGTTCCCCAGTTTTTAATAGTACCAGATGGCTATTTACCAATTAATATTTATGATATATTAATGTCACGGGGACTAAAATATTTGCATTATTGACACAGAATGCATTTCTGTCTCCATAGATTCCATTCAAGAAAGCAAATCAGAATAAGGAAAGGGGTTCATGTTATATGAATACTTTATCTTCATAACAATAATCCTGAAAATTGTAAGATTTTATCAATAACAAGATTGTATTATGCTAAGAATATTTTCATGTCAGCTATTATTGACATTCTAATGATTTAAGATTTCTTAAACCACATGTAGCATAAATAGATATGTGTAAAACCTACATTTAGACAATTCAATACACTAATAATAGTCCTTTTCATGATTGTGTTAGCTGATCTGGCATTTCCTGTGATCTGAAATTAACAAATATTTGTTGAATTTGTTTAAATTATGGATCATATTGAACTGTTTATAAAAGCTTATTTAGGTTTATAGTCCTAGCTACAGCCAAGGGAAAATTTGATGATTGAGAAAAGATAAAGAAAAAAAGAAGTTATAGGTAAAGGAAGTAGTGACCATTCCTAACTCAGAAAATATGGATGGAGGAAAGAAAACAATCATGATTGACACCAAATTGGTTTCGTTGAATTGGGACTCAGAAAGTAGTTTGGTTGGTCAAAGGGAGGTGAGATGAAGAATAAGAACAGGAATATACACCATAATAAAATTCTTACTTCCATTGCACCTAAAAGATTTGCACTCTCTCCAATGCTTTCTTCAATGTACCTACGTTCTTCATCTGTAATGGTAGGATGCTTTGCAGGACTCTCATAAGACACCAAAAGCCAAAACATGTACCAGATCATTCCAAAGCTTCCTGCAAGCAAAAGTTCAAAAGAAAAAAGGCAAAAATCTATCATAAATGTCCTTAGTTAACCATCATTTGCTGGAATAAAATGATAGGAATCTCATGACAGACACATTCTATAGAATGTGATTTGGAGTTTATGCTTCTCCAACTGACTTCAGCCATCTATGCTTGTGTTATGCCACTAGACTTCAACCTTCCTGAAGGCTGGTCCTGTAGTTTTATCTCTTTATTAAATAACGGTGATACACGGGAAACTCACAATGAACAATTATTGAATGGCATGGTCTGGAAGATGTTCATACATCCAACAAACATTTACTGAGCACTTACTATTCCAGGCACTCTGCTAAGTGAGAGGTATTTGGTCCACAAGACAAAATTCCTGTCTTCAAAGAGGTTGAGTTCTTTTCTGATTTGCCTTCCATATGAATATGTGAGTGTATTTCCACACACACAAAAATACTGCTTTCACTCTCCTACTAGCACCTCCAGATCTAGTAAACAGACTATTAAGTAAAATCTAGATTATTTTAGCCTAAGTGGCTATCGTTCATTTAAAAAATTCTCTAATTAACGTAGTAACATTTAACACTTTATATGACTATATACCATGTCATTTTCAGTACCACACTGCTGCCTATGGATCACTCTTTGGGCAGATGAAAGTTAAATACAATAAACTGTTTGCAAGTTCTTCTCCATCCCTTTCTTTAGCACTTTCACTATTAAATCATGCCCTTATTGTGCAATGTAAACCTAAAGAATAAATAAAAGAAAAAATTTCAAGTGGTTTATTCTGGTTTCCCAGAGGATGGTCATTTATTTTTGCCTCTTACCGTTCTTTATCCCTTGGGTAACAATCTAAATACTCCTGATCTCTCTAATACTTTTTTCCTGCTTGTTCAATCTCTAAGAATTGTTTCTTAATACCACAGATTTTGATATGCCGTGCTTTTTTTTTCATTACCAAACATGACAGCGAACACAACTGGGGGTTAGATAGTATGTGAACATTTGGTAGAGTGTAGTCGTTGTGGCATATGGGTCTCCCAGATTCAAATCCTGGCTGTGTCACTCATTAGATATATGCTCTAATCAATGATGAAATCTCCGTAAACCTCCACTATAAAATGAGATGACTCTTTTTTTTTTTTTTATAAGACTGTGGCAAAGAAGGGTTAAAGGAGATAATGCAACTAGTAACTAGCACAGTGGATGGCACAAAAAAAAGCACTCAATAAATGAAAGCTCGTGTAATTCAGTAGTAATTACCATTACCGCTAACTGAATGCATCTGCAGTGCCAGACATTTAGCTAATTGCTATATATGCATTATCTGTTTTAATGTAAGCCACTATTCAGTTCATATCATATTAATTTTTAAATTATTAATAGTGAATGTGTGGCTGGCTCAAAGACCTAATTTTTGTTACACACAGTAGGCAAGTGCTATAATGTGATATTTTCAGAGTATCTAATATCTAAATTTTGTACCATTCAATGATAAATATTAAATGAGATACAACTTACATAATGGGATTGATTTTCATGAGTGCTTTGTGGAAATTAATATTCTTCCTTTACTGTCACATCATATTTTCAATTAAGTAATGGGTTAAATGAAGGCACAAATCAGAGGATTTAATGGCTGGCCATCCTAACTTGTACTACATTTGCTTTAAACTATACACACGTGCTTTAAATTTCTTAGAATTATGGACTCTTGAAAATCTAATGAAAGATATGGATTAAAATCTGATAAAAATATCTCCCCAGGAAAAAATGTACAAATGCATGTATGGCTGATAATTTTGGGCATTCATGAATCTAAAACCCATCCATGGCTTTTGAACCAGAATAAGAGCTCCTGCTATATAAAGCATATTAAATAATATTCTGCAAATATAAGAATTTGCTCTGACGAGAACATTCTGAAATGGAAATGGATCATGCCAAATTTGGAAGCAGCCAGATACTGTCCGGTTCTACCTCATGACTTCATTAATATTTCACATTCTCGGCCCACATCCAAAGATGATATTAATCAGTGACATCAGTTGGAATCCAGCTCTCTTATATTTCTCTTTTTCTGATTGTTACAAAAAAAAAAAAAAAAGAATCTAGAGAGAGACATTAGGGGTCTCTCTAAGGACTTCAGACTTAGAGTTTCGGGTCCTTTTTTATTTCCATTTGAAGGTTTCATCGCACTTAATTCTGGAATAATGAAGACGAAAATGTCTGTTGCTGCAGCTGACAGTTAATATTTCATCACAAAACTGCACTGCTGCATTAACCCCACTATTGTTTTCCAGCTTTCTACCCCTATTCAGCCTTGATAAGGCAGGGTCAGGGGAATAACTAAGAAAGCAGTAGCAAAGAAAGAAAAGTGGGTGCTGCCTAGCTCTTTCCTCTTAATTGGCTATGAATCAAGAGCTAACTTTTTTTCATATTCAAGGACAATATATGTCATACCATGTCAACGTTGCCACCAGCAATGTAATTGCTTTTAAAAACAATAAATACCAAGGTAGGGAGAATCATAAAGATAAGACATTTTCCTTGATCTTCCCAAAATATGAAAAAAGGATTATTAATGGGCAAAATGTGAGTAAATGCAGGAGTCTATTCAGTGATCTATCACTTTGTTTTAGTTCACATACATTTCTTTTAACTTTATTGTAGAGAAATGCAACATACCATAGACATAGAATACTGAGGACCAACCAGTATACTGTACGAGAATGCCAGCTAAAGGCATTGCAATCACAGCTCCAGCATATGAACCTAAAGTAGAAGGGAGAATGGGAGGAAGGTAAATGAAATAAATACAAATTCTGACTTCATCTCACATTTATTGGTTGGCTCCCACTAACACATAGTTGCACACTTAGGTACATGCACACTTCTACCCCTGTACCTACAAATACATATATATGTCTACATACACAGCCAGTGATACAGGACTACACAAGTGTATCTGACCTACTTCCCTAAGACACAAAAGAGGTATAAAAATAATAAGACTATAATAAAAAAATAAAGTAAAAAGACTATGATAAAATTATGTATGAATATATTTGAAAACTTAGACAAAATGGATCATCAACTCCTAGAAAAATAAAAAACGCAGAAGAAATAGAGGAATTAAGGAGACCGATAAGAATTAAAGAAATTGAACTGGTGGTCAAAAACCTTTCCTCATGTACACACACACACACACACACACACACCAAATGGTTTTAGAGATGTGCTTTATCGACTTTCGGTTCTTATCCAAAGTTGTTCCTAAACTTTTACCTACCATAATTCCATCTGCATGTGGTACTCACCACAAAAGGAGGTGGTTGCCAATCTACTCCTCTCTAGAGGAGGAGCCCATTTGCTCCATATCCCATGACATGCTGGGTAGGTGACGCCCTGTGATGGGGGAAGATATATATATCACCATTTAGGATGCAGGGTAACTGAAAAATAAGCTCATTCCCTTCTCTGAGGCTATCTCCTTCAAATGGGCCCAAGGTATTAGAGAAAGCTGCTACTCATAGCTCTTTGCTAATTCCCTGAAATTTCACCTTAAAAACTTTCAGCCCAGATCAAGTAAGACATGGCTTTTTAGTGACCTGTCCAAATTCTCCCCAACCCTCAAGTATTACTCCATTCATCTGCAACTCTGAACAGCTCGAGAAATGTGGGAGGCCTTTTCATGAGTCATTAAATACAGGGATTCCCAAATATAAGGAATCCATACAGAAGAAGGTAAAGCTTAGATCCTTGAAGCTCACACTTCCTAAAAGTAGTATCTAGAACTTAAGACCTTTAAAATAATTATCCATTTAGTGTTATTTTGATCCTATCAAGTTTTTCTTTCTTTTTTGGAGAGAAGGGCTTTAATACTTATCTGATTTACCTACTCTCACTATACTTCAGGAGAATTCTGAATTCCCAAAGAATATAGTCAATGAAACATTTTAGTGAAAACTCAGATCATGATTCGAGTCCTACGGGGACTTGGTATAAAACTCCCAAAAGGTATTAATTCAGGTTATCACCAGGAAAGGACGGACTCAAAAATTCTTATCATAGCACATTAACAAAAGTGTTTGTCCTTTTTATTTTTTTAAGTTAAATAGTCATTAAACATTTCTTTAATACCACTCAGTTCTCGAGGAGACGAGCAGTGAGCAGTCACAGTTGTACTTTAGCATTATTTAAACACAAAATATCTGATTGCCCAATTTTCCAATTTTTAAGCATACTGTGTAGACACAACCTTATAAAATGTTTATTTGTAGATCAAGACAAAGATAGCCTGCTGGTTTTGATTAACATGCCAACCTTAAGATGATGTCATCCTGCAGTTCCATACCTCAACAAGTCCCTGCAATATCCTAACAAAGATGACACACCCATAATGCACTCTGGCTGCTGATGGGATTAGCATATTCAGAGTAGAGGTAAGAAGTATGGCAGCTCCAAAAACCCTGAAAAAGAAAAGGAGTTAGCAGATCTAAATATCTCAGGTCAAGTTAATTAAAAGCAATTTTAAGGTACATTGCTTTTTCCAAAAGAATAAAATGTGTTCTGGACTTGATTGACTAGCCACTACAAATAAAGACCTTGACCATCTTGAAATGTTGTATTATTAAAGCACAAGAAATAAAAGAAAGACTCAAGAAATCCAGTTATATTTACTTGTATTTATTTTCTTCATAGATCTAAGCACAAATTGCAAATATTTGACAAATCATTGTACATGTTTTTGGTTTATATCTCAGTCTACGATGTAAGCTGCTTACGGGCAAGAGGATTTTTTTTTTTCAGGTATACTGTTATATCCCCAATACAGCACAGTGCCTGACACATAGTAGATATTCACTGAAAAGTTGTCAAAAAAAATCATAAATGCCTAAATAGGCTTATGTCTCACATTATACAACTATTTTCAACTTTCTTAAAAGCTGCATATACATAAAAATGTTATGAATGGAATTATATTTTAATTTTTTTTTCAACGTTTATTTATTTTTGGGACAGAGAGAGACAGAGCATGAACGGGGGAGGGGCAGAATCGGAAACAGGCTCCAGGCTCTGAGCCATCAGCCCAGAGCCTGACGCCGGGCTCGAACTCACGGACCGCGAGATCGTGACCTGGCTGAAGTCGGACGCTTAACCGACTGCGCCACCCAGGCGCCCCAGGAATTATATTTTAAATACCCCGAGAAATCTCATGATCGGATCCAGCAGCACATGTATTTACAGTGAAAGTAACTATTACTTAATACGTATTTTTTTCTTTCTTTTTTCTGTGAGTGGGGATAGTGTCTGAGGCACACCTCTAGCTGTGTGCATACACACAATACGTCAGAAAAGAATTGCTTTAGCTATGGTACTCACACCTTCATCTATCTATAAGCAAAAATTCCCCTTTGTTTTCAAAATATCTTCCACAATGTTCATACTAAGTAAGAAAGATATTCCCTTAACTGGGTAGCTTTAGACATATTCTCTTGCAGAGAAGTATGGGAACACACTATCTCTAATGAGCTAATTTGTGCATCCTGTGCAAGTTTTCTCAAGTCGACCACTGAGCCTTGAATTCAGTGAAGATTGTTGCCTCATAGAAGCTCTGATTCTTCCATGGGGCACATTTAAGTGTAAGAGCTAAAGCCTGGAGTTTCTGAAAGGGACCTTGGTCATTATTAATCAGCTACTGAAATTTGAGAAATGACTCTATGAAAGGCTAAAGTGGATCAGCTGTTTTTCTATGAATCATAGATCAGGTCAAATACTTTTGTTTACTTCATGTAACCTAATATCTGCCTGTCCTCAGTGGCTTCTCAGGAGGTAAATATCCTGTTCCATTCTTCCTCTCTGCTGTTTGCTGAATAGGTATCTTTAGGTTTGAGTCAAAGAATGACTTATTTCCTAAATGTCTGTCACAAAAGAGGAACTTTCTATTTCTAAAAATGATTACCCTCATTAAGATGCCACCCATCCAGTGACATTAAACTTCTGCCAAACATGGATTTATTTTTTCAGAAAAGAAATGCAAAATCCCAATGACCTGCCTTTATAAAATAAGAGTCCAAAATTGGTATAAAAATTGATTTAAAATGTATTGTCATTGATTATTACCTTCCAGCTGAAAGAATTTCAACCTCTCTTAAAAATGCAATCCGAACGTGGCTGTGTGCAAACCCCAGGACATTTTGGAGGCTTCCTTTAAGGCTGATAGGAAGCAAGAGAAAAGGTATAGGGCATGTTTCCTGGACCTAGTGGTAAATGGTGCCTGTTTCCAAAGGCCAGTGTGATGCATATGTTTCTACTGCTCTGGAAGTATGAATGTTTTACCTGTGTAACAGGATGAAGGCAGGAAGGGCAAAAGACACTGAAGTTTTTGTCATGTGGGTAGGCTGTCTAGGTCCTGCCAAACTCACTCTCTTGTATCCTGTAGCTGTATCTCACTTTGCTTATTATCCTCCATACTAAAGAGACTGACCCTGCTGCAGGCTTTAAGGATAATGAGAACCAGAGCTACATAATGCAACGGCACTTTTGAAGGTGTTTGTATGAGTTATGCATCTACCCCATTCAGCCCTTCAAAAGAATCCCTTCAAACTGTTGTCCATGAACCAGCTGCAGATTTAAAAATGCAGATTATTAAAATGCTTATTAAAAATGCAGATTTTTCACACCAGAGTTTCCAAATCAGACTATGCTGGGAGTGAAGCCTGAAAATCTGTGTTTTAATAAGAAATCCAGGTGATAATTTTGCATGCTAAGGTTTGCCAAAAAACAAACCAACCAACCAACAAACAAACAAACAAAAACCACCATAAGGTGTATATCCAGGCTTATCTAATATGTGTGTCTTCTTTTCCAATAATTTTTTGAAAGTATGATGCATGAAGTTTACTTTTTATGAATATAACTTTCAACCATCACTTTCTCCCCATTTGAAGTGGTTTTTTTTTTTCACATTTATTTATTTTTGAAAGACAGAGTGAGACAGAATGCAAGCGGGGGAGGGACAGAGAGAGAAGGAGACACAGAATCTGAAGCAGCCTCCAGGCTCTAAGCAAGCAGTCAGCACAGAGCCTGACACAGGGCTCGAACCCACAAACCATGAGATCATGGCCTGAGCTGAAGTTGGACGCTCAACCAACTGAGCCACTCAGGAGCCCCATGAAGTGTTTTAAAATATGGCTGTCTCTAGACATGTCAGGAGAGATGACTTTTACCCATTCTATAGCTCAGGATTTCTCAACCTCCACACTATTGATATTTCAGGACGGATGCTTCTTTGTTGTGGGACTGTCTGTGCATTGTATCATGTTTAGCAGCATTTGTCCCCAAGTTGTAGCAACCAAAAATGTCTACAAAAATTGCAAAATGTCCCTTGGGGGACAAAATCACCCACTAGTAGAACTGAATCAATTATGAACTGTTCATTAAGCATCCATTATAGTTAGACCTAAATCTAATAAATGCTTCTTCACCTTGCTAAACCCCAGGCTAACACTTCACATGCCATAAAATCCATAGCCACTTAACAACCCAATGACATGGATATTATTAATATACCCATTTTATAGATGACGAAACTAAGCCTCAGATAAGTGAGATCATTTGCACAAGTCACTAATCAGTTCCAAGTAGAAGAACGCTGGTTCAAATCTAGTCTGTCTGATTCCAAAGCCAGTAGGTTTTACCACTAGGGTTTTCATCTGATTATGCATACATGTAGTCAGTAATGTGTTTCAGGATTCTAAGTGTAAATTTAAGTAGTAATCTTCACAAACCTACTTGAACTCACGCTGCTATTCCTGAAATAAAACACCAATAGATCATTTTCAAAGTTTACTTCTCACTCTCACCCTGAAGAGTGTTTGTAATAATATAATCATGTGGCATGTTTAAATGCTTCCCACTTGCAAGTTCCCATACTATTCCTTTTTCATTATAGTTGCTATTGGATCATGAAAACACATTGACTTTTTTTCTATTTAAAAATGAAATCCATCAGACTTTTCAGAACCTCATCTTCTTTTTAAAATTTTATATAGTTGTTATCCAAATCAATATCCAAGTACTTACAAATCTATCAAAATTCTTGCCCAGTATGAGAAGCTTTCACACCTTCTCTTCCTGTGCTACACACAGCCAAAATTAAAGCAGCCACTTCACTCAACATTCATTTATGCATTCACACTCCAATTCTTTGTGAGACTGTATTTAGAGTAGGGTACTGTGCTGAGGAGGAAAAGGAAGCTAAACCTTACAGAACAATTACTATACTCTCCACCTACATTAATTCATGTAATCCTTACCTCTCTGAGTCACACTTTCTTCTCATTTTACAAATAGGAAAATGGAGACCAGAATTGTGTAAGATAAAAGCAAGCAGTAGAGTGGAGATTGGAATCTAGGGCTCTCTGACATGAAAAGCAATGCTCTTTCACCAATATGGTGCTACTACGCACTCAGGAGAAAACATAAGAATGGCCCTTGGTGTAGTAAGAGAAAGAACGAGACAAGTAGCAAGAGGCAGCTTAAGCCAAAGTTCATAACAGCTGTACAAATGAAAAGCAAAAGAGGGAAAATACCATTCCAGCTGGGGTGACCAAGAAGCAAGCCCTTCATAGGGATACTCTCAGGTTGGGCCTTGGAAGATGAATTGTTGAAGGAAGAAGGAAGAAGGAAAAAGGAAGAAGGGAGAAAGGACAAGGAAAAGGAGAAGGAGAGGAAGAAGAAGAGGAAGAAGGTGGAGGAGGAGGGAGAAATTCCAAAAAGAGGAAATGGATCAGCAAAGGTTCAAAAACATGGAAAAGATTTCATTGTATATCAGAAACTAGAAACTATTTAAAATGGCTGGACATGGTGGTACCCTATAGCCTGAGTAAGAGAAGTAAGAACATCAAGGGTGAGTTTATGAACAAGGAATTAGTAGAGGGTGTGAGGAAATGCAGATTGAACAAGGAGGGGAAGAGCAGAGTCTGTAAGTCCATGACATCTTGGACATAATGTAGCTTAGAGTGATTAGAGAAGATAATTGATGATCAAGCCCTTAAAGTGAAGTAAACACAAAAGCTGATCAGAATTAAGGGGCAAGGGATTGTTAAGGCCAGGGAGACATAAAGTGATCAGGATCCATGTAAATTTAGGCAAGATGATGGGTTGCAGAGGAGCAAGGTGCCAAAGTCACTAATGGTGATAGGAGAAATAGTGACATAAACATGGTACAGAAATTTTTATAAGACTCCAGCTTTGTCATTCAATAACTATGTAACTGGAAAGTTATGTAACTTCTCTGGGTGTCTGATTCCTTGTCTATAAAAAAGGGCAGAGCTGTGTAATGGTCAAGAGCACAGATTCTAATGCCTGGGTTTGAAGTTTATTTCTGTCATTTATTACTTGAGTGATCTTGAGCTGTTTACCTAACTAACTATGCTTCATACCTGGTCTACAAAATGGGGACATT